CACGCCTTTCTAGTGAATCCAGAGTCGACCCTTAGCAGAACCATTCCTTAGGTACCAGCAGTACTCCATACGAGACCGAACTTGTGCATCGTACAGTGAAGCAACTGTCCCAGGATGAAGTCCCTATCTACCCACCCGAGAGATAGGGTATTCCGGATAGACTACGGGCTCCCCGGCAAGATCAGGGTACAGCGGGCGTCCGGGTCGAGTCCTCCGATAGTGATACGCCTTCTCGGGCATCTATGGTGGACCCGGACTTAGGTATGGACTGGCTGGGGTTTGTGGTGAGCTGTAAAGACGGACATGTTCGTCTGCCCCAGTGGTGTGAGGCCGGGGCGTCTGTCTCGTGCGCAGCTAGCGCGTCTTAGTACCAGTATAGACGAGGACGTAAGTCGAGGAGACGCGTGGGGCACGTGGGCTGCCCTATAAGTCGGAAGCTATGTCCAAACATGGTCACAGGATACTACGGGTCGTATTCCAGAACTCTACTCAATGCTCAAGTCAGGATTTGAGCAGACTTGAGTATGATTTAAAGCACTGGAAATACGACCCTAACGGCAAGGACTTGAGTATGATTTCTAGTGTTTTAAATCATACTCAAATCCTGACTTGAGCATTGAGTAGAGTTCTGGAATACGACCCTAAGACTAGCCCGGAGAGCTAGCTAGCTAGTCCGGAGAGCTAGCTACTAGAGGATGAGCTAGATATCCTCCGGTCCCTCCAGCTGCTTAGGTTGTTGGAAACTGGATAGACGCCGATTTTCGGCGTCGGGAAGTGATGGTACCTTACAGCTCCACCACCAATGAGAAGATTTGGTAATGGACTTTAGAGTCGACGGCTTAGGTGGCAACCGTTAGTTGTGCAATGTGCGACTGGAAGTGAGCGTGCCTACAGCTTCGGTGCCTATCTGGAAAATAGGGAGGGTACTGTACGCGCGTACAGTACCCGGGGCTGCTCACACGAGGCACTAGCCTCTGGAGAACCGGATGAAGTCAGCAACAACCATTTGTGACAACCCTGTACACTGGTTGATCTGGAGTCAGAACCTGAACTTAGAAGGTTCCTGTGCATGCACAGGTTATAGTGCCCTTCTCGTATATCCTAAGGGTCGGTAGGGAGGGTTCCTAATAATCAAAGTTAATGGAGAAAGATATGGGGCTGTCCCAGTGTGAAGTATCGCCTCGCCTTTGAAAGGGTGCCAAGCTTCATTTCTCCAAGCCGAAGATTTTAAACTTAGTATTTAGACAAGGCACCACACGCGCTAGTAAGGCTCCTGCCTCAAAGCATAGACTTTTATGCCTATAAAATTATAATTAAAAGGCACTTGTACCGGTCAAATGTCAGGACCGTGGAAGATTGTCACAACCGTGATGTTTGCGAAAACGCGGCTGCGACACCTAGGTTGTGACATTTTTGCGCCATGCCACTCATACCCTTAAAGTCTTTAATTGAATATTGGCTTAATTATAAGCATAGTAATC